CCCCTTTAAAACATAACATACCACAGGAAAAGTAATCAAGCGCATCCACTACAAATAGGATATGTATAAATTCATATAATTTTGGTTTAACTTCTGCGTAATGACTTTATGTAATTTCAATGCTTATCTCCATTAATGAGTGGAATATTTCATGTAAATGTATATGATGAAAAGAAAACAGTTTAAAATCGTTGTTTACTTCATTACTTTTCTTTCTCCAGGAAAAAAAGTGGCCAATGAAGCTTTTAGCAATTATTTAAAATGCATCTAATCACTCTAAACAATAATCTAGAAACAATGTGAATGAACACAACCAGGGCCGCATTAAGACCTCAATGGGCCCCGGGGCTATGACTTACTGCAGGCCCCCGACTTCTGCATATTATAACCTGGAACTTGGATGTGTGAAATAATTACAGTTAGATCCAAAAGATCGTTTTAGCAACATTGTGCAGATGCTACAGAACACAGTTAGCTGACTGGCGGTATAAGATTGTGTGCTACGCTAATATATTACTTCACATGCATTACTGGTTTGCATTTTTACATCCATAATATTATAAACTGACAGTTTATTGCTGGTCTGTAGATTGGTTCCTTTTATTTGATATTTGAATATGTGCTACTTAGCTGAATGTGGACTAGTCTAGATGTTGCAATGTGCTTAAATGACACTTCACTATGAATATATATCTAATCAAATTGAATGCCTTGTTGCTTGATTTTAGTGTTGTTGTTTTTTTGTGATTGACTTTGTACCTTTAAATAAAATGTTTTTCAATTATTCTTTAAAAAGGTTGTTTAAAATAAACAAGAATTTTTAATAAAACATGATGTGAGCTTAATGGGAACAGGGGTGTGCTTAAAGGGTACAAACATGTACCCATTAAGCACAGCCAGACTTTTTGAATTTAATGATGTATATCTTAATTGAAATGCTTTTGTCATTTAAAATAAAATTAAATATTTTTGTGTGAGAGATTAATCTTTTATTTTAACA